TCAACCAAAAGTGAGGTCAACACACATCAATGAGGGTAGTGGGTGGAGTGCCACACCAAGGATAAAGCGGCTCCCGGAGGAAGTCCGCCACGACCCGAGGGTTGATGCATTAAGCGTAAAAGATGGTGAGCGGAATGCCACACCAAGGATAAAGTGGCTCTGGAAGGAAGCCTGCTACGACCTGAAGGTCGACGCATCAAGTGTAAAGATGGTGAGCAGAATGCCACACCAAAGGAAAATATGAATTGGGATAAACTTTCGTCAACCCAGACATTGCGGAAATTAGTTGGGCAATATACACTACCCAAAGAATACTTAGTCGTCAGACTGAGCTAAAATCCTCTAAACGAGGGAAACCTCCACATCCATTTATGACGAATGGGACAAGGCTCTCTACCACGCTCATTTATAATGGGTAGGAAAGGCTCGTTTAGACCCGCTCGAAGCGAGGCACCGAACAAAAAGACAAGAGAAGTACTTGGTTTCTCTCATATCGATTACCGATTGCACCAGGTATAAGCCGCTCGTAGGACTTCCACTTTGTCTGTTTAGTAATTCAGAAATCGGTTGTAAGAGATGCACAAGGCCTCACTTGGGTGCCACATGTCATCCTAGATTATGCAATACGATCTCTCAATAGCTATAAGGAAATCATCACAAGCAGTTCAGACATAAGACAAAATAGAAGGATGTAATCCTATTGCTCAAGAATTGAATTAAAAAGTACATGAAGCTTTGAATAATCAATTTATGCAGCAAAGTACGTCAAATAAAGGACGAACCGAAGCATAGTATCTCTTCAAATATCGCCTGTTGATGGGGGGCATGGGGTGAGATCCGTTAGCATCAATAAGCAAGTAGGCTCCTCCCTCGTAACCGATCACGAACGGTCCGATCCTTCCCATGTGGGCTCAAATTTCCCGTGGCTTCGACGATGAGATACAATCGGATGGCGTAACACCAGCACCAAGTCTCAAACTATGAAGGTAAGGGGCCTTACGAGCTTGTTGTGGGCTTTGGCCATACAAGCCCGGTATAGTTTGAGGCTTTGTTGGGCTTGTAATTGCAGCCCCTCCAAGCTGTCAAGCTCTTCTAACCTAAGCCGGGTATTATCTTCACTGTTGACATTATTGCTGATAGTGACACACAATGAAGACAATTCAACTTCCAAAGGAAGGACTGCTTCAGACCCAAAGGTCAATGCGTATGGAGTAGAACTACTGGGTGTATGGTATGTCGTACGATATGCCCACAAAGCCTCCGATAGCTCCTCGTGCCACTCTTTCTTATTGGCATGGAGAATTTTCTTGATAAGGCCAACTAAAGTTTTATTAAAAACCTTGGCCAAGCCATTCGCTCTAGGGTAATAGATCGTCGAATATCGACAATCGATGTGATGGCGACAAGCAAATCTATTAATCTTGATATTTTTGAAAGCCAACCCGTTATCAGAGATGATACGTCATGGCACTCCAAATCTATAAACGATATTATTCTTAAGGAAGTGCAGCATGTTATCTGTCGTTACTTCTCTTAGAGGGATAGCTTCCGCCCATTTAGAGAAATAATCAATAGCCGCAAGAATAAATCGATGTCCTCGAGAGGATGGTGGGTCAATAGACCCCACAATATCGGTACCCCAGGCTTCAAGAGGCCATGATGCGACTGTCGGGTGTAGTACACTCGGGGGTTGGTGAAGCACAGGGCTAAACACCTGGCATTGATGACACTGCCTGGCATATGCAATGCAATCAAGGGTCATTGTAGGCCAATAATAACCAAGGCGTTTGATCTTGATTTTCATTTTGGGACCCGACTGATGGGATCCACAGACGCCCTCATGGACCTCAGCCATTAATTTCTGGGCCTCATCATCCCCTACACATCGTAACCACATCTGCTCAAAGGAACGTCGATACAGAGTATCGTTAATAATGGTAAACGAAAGCGCCCTCTTCTGGATCTGAGAGGCAAGGGAGCAATCATCGGGGAGAATTCCCCTCGTCAAGTATGCGACGATGGATTGACGTCAATCATCAGATATTCCATCATAAGTAGCCAAGATGACACCACTGCTATCTGAGGGCATGATCCCGAAACTACTTATATGCAACAGTATGACAATAATTCTGATTATATTTTTCACTTATATTTCTTTATTTCGCAACAAAACCAAAAACTTGATCTTGAAGAAAAATAAGAATTTAACTTTTAATTTATATTGGGATACTATGCAAGTATACGTACGTTATCAAGTAATATATGACTTTTTGATTAAGACCTGAATATCGAACCCACAGAGAAGATATGCAATATGCACTTTTTGGAAAACTTTCTATTTTTAAAAAGATAATTATTTAAACTAAAGATGTTTTTGCAGTAAAGAAAGTTTAAATATTTTTGATAATTTTAATGTTTTGACAAAAACAATACAAACTTAAAAAGATAACTTGAGATTTTGTAGAAGAAAAACACTAAATATGAAAATATTTTTCTCCTTATCATGAATCAGTAATAAGTATAGGAATTTTATCGTGGATGTATGCATATTGTGTTGTGTCAAATATTAGCAATAATATTCTTTACCCTTACTAGAGATGTTATAAAGAATAATTTAAAGTTTGAATAGTTCTAAAGACCGGTTAAGCAAAGAAGATACTAGCTCTCACTCTAGAGTTCCCTTGATTCCCTCCATCTGGGGGCTAACATCTCGTATCAAAACCTAAAACAATAAACCAAGTTGGGGGGTTTAACATGTCACTTTAAAGTCCTCTAACTCTACACCCTTCAATGAATATTTCCTTATTTGTTTGCACTCAATCATATGAATTACATTCTCATACATACAACCTCATGTGATTCTTTCTAATAGTTGACTGAGACAATGTCATCCCGGTTCTTACATGTTCTCACAACAAATTTTAACATCTAGATTTACTAAATCAAGAATTAAATGAAGTACATGGGTTTAATATTTTTATTTTATTCTTTTATGTATTACCCCATCTTTGATGAGATTCTGTCATTTGAGAGTAAATGAGAGGAGATGGAGGAAAACAATCGAAGCAGTTACATGACCGTTAATGCGCCATCAATAAATTTTTATTATCCAGCATGAATCTTGAGGCTTGACATAAGTCTCGAAATAATTTTTTAGCAAAAAATATTCAAAATTCGATTAAAAATCATTCAGAAGTTTGATTTCAACAAACTTACAATCAAACATATTGACATGACAAAACAAACATAATGATACTAAACTTGGTCAAATTTGAGTCAAGTTAAGCCCAAACCAAATTGTTAATCAAGTTTTAGAAGCTTTCATTGTCTAATTAGAGGATCAAATGGAGGCTTATTGTCAAATCGAGCGTATTAGCAAGATGAATCTGATGAGCCCAAGATTGCTCAATTATAACATTATTGAGACAGTCAAATGCTCACTAAACATCGTCCGATCAAAGAAACCCCTTCGGGCAACCAAATGGAATGACATGAATTTCTTCCTTACCTAATTATTTTTAGAAAGAAAGGGGAGGGGGGGTTACCAAAGTCTTAAACCTAAAGAAGATCAGAGCTTGAAGAAGAAGCTAAATTTCAATATTGTTTCTACATTGAAGGTCCGACAGACACCTCCCGCTCTAACAGCTATCGAACACCACCTGTCGGTCGTCATCAAGCAACATTGATCACCCTCTATTTATTACAGTGATGCTTCGTGCACAGTCAAAACTTGCGTTGTGGAGCTACTAAACACTGTGCAAAGTAAAAACAAATATGACGATGCCACGAAGCATCCTACGGAGCAGTGCATCATCCTGAAAGTCATGCCACAATGCACCTCGAAGACGGTATACCGAAGCTCCAGCAACTGCTTTCCACTGTAACCTCTCCCTACCATGAGACAATTATTATAGCTCGAGAAATTACGTAACTCT